ATAAAATAAATTAAAAAATTTCTTAAAAATATTAGCGCCTTGTTTCTTTTGCAATTATTTTAAAATATATCAATTTATTTGACAAAATGTAAGGATATCATATTAAAAAAAATTTAAACCCGAATCGGCCCAGCCCGAACCCGAATTTATCACTATAATATATACCTCTACAAGAATGTTTAAAAATTCTGAAGAAATTAGGAGAACCGAGTTATTTTAATTATCCACCCTATATATAATTGCTGTTTATCGTAAACAAAAATACCTTCAAAAAAATATATATCTAAGCTTGGCTTATTTTTAGTTAACTAACAAGAAATATTTATTTATAATGCCAAACCAATTTTTAAGGAAAATAGTTTTTTTTTAAATTAGTATTTCTCCTTTTTATGATTGACAGGCGATTTTTTAATAGCAAATTATAAATAAAGCCTTCAGTTGTACGCCAATTAATCACATCACCTTGGATAGGTTTATCAATAGAAATAAATAAATTTTATTTAAAAAACCATGAATAATTATTCCGAATAATTTATCGAATAAACGAATTATTCATATAATTTTGTATGTATTATTCGAATCAATTCTTAATTCATTCAAACAAAACAAAATTTACTATTAGTATTCGTTACTATTCGATTCGACTTTGAATATTCTGAATGTTGAGTAAGTAGATAAAAAAAATTCTGAGCGTTTAAGATTACAATCCGAGGGAAATAATATAAGTCGATTATCATTTTAATTTCCAAATTGGAATTATGGGATGTTCATAATAGAGGTCTGCAATGAGCTAGCCCATAAGCCCGTTCGTCCATTATTTCTAAAAAATTTAACCCGCCCGCCCATAGTTTAAAAAATATATCTGCCCTCTCGCCTATGAGTCTAAAATTCTTTATCCGCCTGCCCAATAGTCTAATATTTTTTACTCGTCCGCCCATTATACAAAAAATTTTTTAATCCAAGCCGCCCATAAAATTTAAATATCCTCATTCTTTCAATTTTATTAAAATCTAATTAAAAATAATATTCAATTTATATTACAGATAAGGAATTTATTTGATTTAATAAAATATTTATGTAAAAAATATAAATATAAAATTAATATTTATTGATATAATTTCTAAATTAAAATGCAAAATAATAATGAATCCACATTTTCTGGATTCACGCACGTTCCTTTTTGTTCTATAAACCTTACAGCAATGTTGATTCCTCGTTCAGAACACTGATTAATCATGATAGCTTCGATAAATATTTTCTTGTCGTTTCCACGAAAATAGGATATCCATTTGAAGTATATCCTCTACTTAAGTGAGATATTTAAATAAAAAGTGAAACCATTAATAAAAAATAAAATAAAGTAATTTAAATTAATTGTTTATAAATGATAAACTTAAACTAAACTTAGTACCCTAAAATCTTGCTAAATTATACAAAAACTCATTATTTTAAGATTTAAATATTTTGTTATTTAACAGGTAAAATGCCATCCTCTGTAACAGCCACATCTTTTGTTGTTTAATTTTGACGTGGATGCTATCTAACATTGCAATAATTTAATACCTTTAATTGAATTCTCTTTGCTTTTGAAGAAACGGGTAAAATTAGATCATTCACGTTTATGTTATAGATATCAACATATCCTCAGATATCGATTGGTTTAAAAAATGTTGAATAATGGAGCATTTTTTAAAAATATTTACATAAATTATTTAAAATAACAAATAAAAGTTGTGAAATTTTAACCCGCTCGCCCGTCCGCCCACTTAGATGGGCTGGTGGGGGAGGGCGGGCTAAAAACTCGCCATTGCAGACCTCTAGCTCAGAATAATAATTTGGTTTGGATAGATACCGCGAATGGATAATTTTGATGTGTAAGAAATAGTTTAGTTTTTTAACGAATAATTTATTAATTGGTACTTCAATACAAGGTCTAATTTAGGAAAACAAGACAGGGCAAATTAGATGCAGTTATTTTTTTTATTTATTTAATATTAAAATTTATACAGTTCAAGATCAATAACTTAGGTAATAAATTTATATAATATTTTTCAAAATTTACTTTTAATTGCCTAAAGCTCATTTTTATGTTAGGAGAAGGGGTGGGGGGCGAAAGTTTATTAATGTGGAAGGAACTGGTCCTAAAATATACCCTACTTACTTACTATTATGAGTTAGAGAGACTATGAAGAAATCACTAAATTATTTTTCATCATATCAGAAAAAGGTCGTAAGCCAACTTACATACTTACAACTATTAAGCAACGAAAAACTTGTAAAACATTTAGCGCCTTATGATTTAAGAAATTATGTGGGGAAATTATCATTGAATATATTACTTTCCATTGATAAACGCATTTAATATATTCATTATTTCGCTTTAATATCTCGGCGGTAAAAAAGTTGATATAATTAGCTCAAAAATATTCTCGAATTAATCGCGATATCAATCTTGGGGTAGATATTTTGATCTAATGTGTTCGAGATTAAGGCTTCGAAAAAGTAAACTCACATGATATTGTTTCCGCTGTTAAAATTTATAGGAATTGGTTTGCAAAAATTTGCTCTAAAATTCTTTTGCGATATAAAATATGCTAAAAAGTGTTTGGCGATAAAAATTTTCTCTAGGTTTAAGTCTGTTGTTAATTTTTTTAAGAATGGTTTGACGATTTTTTTAATTACATATAATGCCTCCCTCCTTCCTTCACTCTCGTAAATTTTAAAAATTACCTCCAAAACCTATTTTAAACATCCCAAAAGTTGTATAAACTTTAAGGAAAACCGAATGATAAAATCTTGAAAATTTCACAAATATGTTTTTGGCCATATATAATTTTTTCGATTAAAAAAAGAGACTTATTTCGTGTTTTTCGATAAAGTTTTGAAAGTTTCGAAGAAATTTATTTTCTATGTTTTGGTAACTCAGCCTTCAGTAAAATTAAATATTTTATTCAAAACCTGATAAGCTACTCCATTTAAAATGATGGGATTTTAAAAAAAAATAAATAAAAATTGCATATCAAAGCGTTTATCTTCTTTCTATAATTTTCTCTTGTTAAAATTTTTGTTTTTATTAGGTGTATAAAATAAAAATTTATACAAATTTTACATTACATACTGATTTGCCTCGCATTGTATAATTTTCTACATATCTAAATGTTAAGAAAGTGTTTGCATTTTCCTTGAAATTTATAGTGCTTAGAATTTACATGTATACATTACATGCCAGACAGGGTGACGTTTGGAAGGGGAGATAAGAAAAACAGTCTCAGAAATTTATAATTTGAGTGAGAACTAAAAAAAATATTTATGTTAGCAAAACATATCAATAATAAAATAAAACGCATTAGGTTATTTATAATTATGAACATGGTTCAGTTCTCGTGAAAGTATTCAAAAGCTTAAACAATTTATTTATAATTATTCAATGTCAGTTATAATATATCACCGAGACATATCTTTTTCATGTTTAGGAAATAACTGTTAAATTGCATTGATTTTAGAAGTATCCTATTTTGTTATTTTATATAACAATAACATAAAAGATATTGTAAGTTAAGGTAAATTTGCGAGACAATATCCACATATCAATTAATCTTATATAACATTTTCTTTTTAAACAAGATTATTATGGGATATTAACAACAAGCCCTTGTTTTAAGAATATTAACAATCATAATAATTAGCAGAGTTGTTAAAAGATACTTTTCAAATGGATCTTCATACAAATACAATATTTTACAAATGCCTATAAGTATGGATACAATTTTCCGCAAAATTCACTTTTATTATAATTATTAAAGGTGTGCATAATGCCTAATTTAGGATTCTATTGTTAAAATTTTGAAGTGAGCCGAAAATTTTTATTGAATTGGTATGGGTATCCCATCTATATAAAAAATAATATAACGATACGATTACAAAGTAATAACTGTAAAATTTTAATACTTAAGCGTTCTCAAATATTTTATCAGTTTGGCACCTCCCGTTTATCTAAAGACACTTTTAATCCCACTAAAAAAGACTTTATACAGGATGTCAAATTTTTGTAAAATAGGATCTTTACTAACTAAATTTGACAATTAAAAGTTTCATCAATGGTTAGCACTTAGAACTTGAAATGAATTTTCTAATTATTTGAAATCAAATATTTGATTTGAATTCGACTATTAATAATCAATTATTTGATTTCAAATAATTTAAATATTTCGTTAATAATAAAATCTCATAAGTATCTCCCCTAAAATTTTGAGCAAGTCTCAAAATAGCAATTTTTATGTGTAAAAAAATCTTTTGTGATAGAAATCATAAAAAAAATATCTTCAGATAAGAAATGATGATTTTTTTGATTATGATAAAAATGTTAAAGTCCGATAAAAATGTTAATTTCTCCCTCTCAAGTTATAGGACTTTGCTTAGAGCCTTTGAGATACAAAGTTACACAATGTGGATAACATAAGTAGTTCGAGCCTGCGTTAGAGCTTTTCAAATTCAATTTTTTTGGTCTAATCCTACCCTGATATTTTTATAAATTTTTAAGTCCCAGCCCAAAATTTTTTTATTCTACGCCCGAATATGGTCCTATTTTTTTAAAATAAAAACCAGTTTTAAATTTATATCCAAGCCCGATTCGACCTTCGGGTGATTAGCGGAACTCCACTTTTAGTGTCTTTAATTTTGAACTAAAATAGTTTGTCAGGGTAAAAGGTGCATAGCCCGGCCTCCCTTACATGTCTACTAAATAAATTAAAACCCATTAAGATTTTTGGAATATATATGATATGGGTAGCATATTATTATAGAATAATTTTTATTTAAATATTATACTAATTTAATTATATTGTATTATATTAAAATTATATGCAATCATATTCTAAATATTCATCAAATAATTAAACTTTTTCTAAATAAATTGTTTTCCCGAATATTGAAAAATGCCATATTTATTACTAAATATAAGACGCGCGAATCTTAATAAATACTAAGTTATGAATATTCTTTTAAAGGGTACATTTTTTTATTATAGATTCTCTGGTTATATTTTGTTTAAATGTAGTTTGAACGATATTTAATGAATTTTCGTGATCCCTAAACGAATTACCTTCGGCTCTAGTCCAGATAAAGGGATTAACGTCTCCTTTGACTATTTTTATCACACTAGGTCTCATCTCCTGCGTTTTTAATACATCATCAATAATACTAGCTGTTTCTGATTTGTTAACATTGAAAGTGTTGTTCAGAAACTTAAAATTTCCCCATTCGTATTTGAAACATAAAGCTTGGTAGTTTAATTCGGCTTGGTTAATGGGATTAGTATTTAAATTGTTAATATGCGTTCCTTCATAACTTTGTACAGGAAATGTCGCAATTTTATATTGCGATTTAGGGCTAATTTTAGTTTTATTTACTCCGTCGGATTTTGATGACGAAGAAAGGGATAAATTATGCACGTTAGATTTGTTATTTTTCGGTATACGAATATATTTATTAACATTTTTTTTATTGTTTAACAATTTTGGTCGACACGAATTTTTAAGCATGTGCTCCTTGAGTTTCGAGATTTCGGAATAGGACATTCCGCATTCTGTACATATGTAAATCCTCAAATGCTTAGAATAAAAATGAGAATATATATGTTCTTTTAACTTGTTTTCCCCCGAAAAACATTTGTAACAACTGTTGCATTTGTAGGGTAAATCTTTTGTTTAAGAATAAATAATAATATAAGATCATTCTAAGGTTTAATATGTTTAAATAAGAGTATTATTTTTTTTACATCGTCATTAACATGTATCATCTCAAGGGGATTACTTATATAACTTTTATAGGGGGCGAAGCATACATACCCTTATTTTGGGGCCTTCGACCCGTTTTTTCCTGCCTTCGGTATTATAACACAGAATATTTAGACGGGGTAACAATGTTAACGTAAATAACTTTTACCGTTGAGCATAAAGACCTTAAATTTGGTGTGAACTTCTTACCCATGTCCATCTTTAATCTTCCTGGTTTGAGATATTTTACGAAAAAACCTCGTTTTTTACCCCAAAATTATAAAAAAGCAAAATATATTTATGCTCATAAAAATTTGTGTACTTGCTCCTTAAAGCCTAGCTATAAAATGAAATTTATAAAAAAAAATTCTAATTCTTTTCATTCAGGAAGCTATTCAAATTCTTCAGGAGGCTCGAGCCTCTATGCCCCCCCCCTTCCCTTCATAGTAATCCTGTTAATTTTTTTAGCTGATATAATATGTACTATCGTCATTTTAAAATTCTAATTTGCCCGGAAATATATTCCAGCATGTCTAGATTACTCCACACTGTAAAATTCAGAAATTTTTGGCACTAACTTTTGAACTACTCGAATTTATATTAATTTATAGAAACTAAAATTGTCTGAAATTTAATGTTGGTTACTATACACATGCTGGCACTTCCGGTCAAATCAGATTCTTTAATTTTAAAATTTGCCCTCGGTAAATAATTTTAAATTGGCGGGTCCATTTCACATCCTAAACATATATGATTATATATAAACACAGATAAAACTGTTTAAATATGATCCGTTAGGTGCAATATCCCTAAGTACAAAAATGTCCCATTTTAAAATATCGCTTTAAAAAAATGTTAAATATCTTATAAGGGCAAACCGGTTAAGTGAGAATTATCGGATAAATATAAAAGTTTTATAGTCCATTATATTTTCATATAATATCGGTTAATTGCCGATAGATATTTATTTAATCGAAATATCTAATTAAAATTTTGTTCTCTTCAAGTTTATATATCATTTAAGCAATAAATTATTTTTAAAAAAAATTGTTTGTCATTTTAGATCTCTAAAATTTTCTTTCCATATGATCCAAAATAAGTTAAAAATTTTATGATTAAAGTTTGAAATAATACTATTGAAGTTTAAAATAATCGACAGATTTTAAATGATATACTTCAAGTTTAAACCGAAACTTTACATTAGACATCAGTAATAAAAATTTTCAGCCCGACATAATTCATTTTTTTTGCCCTTCTATGCAATGCCGATCTTTACTTTACACCTTTGAAATTACTAAGTTAATCAAATGCTACAAATTACATTATTTGAATTAAACTTTGAAAATATTTAAGATTATCTTTTCTAATGTTTTTCAAATAAATTGATTTTTTAGTTTTTTTTTCAACTAAATATTTACGATAATTTATAAACTTTCAAAATTATTATTATTTTTTTTTAATCGTTAACCTGTTTGATGACACTTAGAATGGAATAAAAGACTGGTCACTTGAGAGAATCTCTTTTTACAGGTGGCGAATTTGCAAATATAGGGTCTATCACCCGTGTGAACCCTTGTGTGTTGGGTTAGATGAGACATTTGTGTAAACCTTTTTGAGCATATGAGGCAACGATAGGGTTTGACTCCTAAATGAATTCTCAAATGTTGATTAAGATGGAAAGCATTGGAAAATGTTCTTGAACAACGATTGCACTTTAACCTATTGTCTGGTGGCGTAATATCCAAAGAAATATTCTCCGATTCTTTCATTCTCCTAAATGGGAAAATAATATTTAAATTTTTGAAACAATATTTTATTTTTATTTTTGAAATTAAAAATAATAAATTTGATTTTGAAATTAGGATCTTTGATAATAAAATTTTTATTATTATAAAAACAATTCTATGTAATTTTTTTTTTTAAAATAAAATCAAAATAATTGTAAAGCTTTTTATTTTTCCTTTCTCCGTCAATTGAGAATAAATTCTTCTTTCAAAATTTTGGAAAAAAAGCTGATTATTTTTTTATTTTTATTTTTATTATATTATAAATTTTTGTTTTTAATATTTTGAAATAAAATAAATAAACAATTTGAATTTAAAAACAATTTCAAGAAAAATGATTTTTAGTTATGAAACAAAATACCAAATAACATCATATTTAATTATAATATTAATTATTGAATACAATGCTGTTTTTATTTAATATTACTTATACCTTTTAAAATTTGTAATCAGGATTGACGGTTGAGTAAAATTTTAAAAAAATGTATTCGAATTACAGATCCACGAAGCATGGCATGTTTCCGCCTGTTAAGGATCTTTGCATGAGTACTTGTAATAAGTTGAGTATTCATATTTGAAAAATAATAAGTGAATAACTCCAATTGTTAAACTCTTAAATAGTGTTGTTAAACGGCTCGTTTTGAGCTTTTTAAAAACGGCTAACTCAATATTTTAGCCTGAAAAATATAGCCCAAGCCTTGAGATTTTGCTAATAGATGTCCAAACCTTTGTTCCTTCTACAAACAAAATATTCAGGTTTGCTTAATACTATTCTGGATGAAATATTGAGTTAGCCGTTTTTAAAATTCGGCTCAGAACGAGTTGTTTAACAACACTACTCTTAAAGTATGAAAAATCTACAATTATCACGCGTTTTCATCTAATTTGCATAGTCTAAGACTTAAATAATAAAGTAATAATTTTAATAAAGCATTATTTTTGATTGAATATTATCATAATTTGAATAATGCATTTTTTTCTGAATATTACAACAATACTCTTAATATTTTGCCCGGACCGGCCCGTTATATTTTTCAAAAAATTGATATGAGAAGTTCGCCTTGGCTCATTTAATTATTTGTAAAATATTTTCAGTCAGCCCATTTATAATGTCTATTTTTTTTCCAATGTCACATGCACGTAACTAGTTTTATTAAACGGATTTTTAAAACCGCTAACTCAACATTTTAGCCAAAAAATATTACAAGCCTAGAGATTTTACTCATAGATGGCAGAAGGTTTGGACATCTATTAATAAATTCATGATTATTATATTTTGGCTAAAATCTTTTAAAATTGACTAAATCGAGCCGCTTAACAATACTACGCGTAACCAAGTGAAAGTGTGTAAATCATTTTAAGATAATACCCCCTCCTCCACCCCTTTCCATATATACAATATATCATTATAAATAATATTTTAATTTATATTTTTTAAAAATAACAATTATAATTTAAAATTTATAGAAAAAAATCATTTTTATAAAAAAAAAGTTAAAACCCAAAATTATTTTTGTAAAAATATAACATAATTATAAGGGGGTCTAAAGACCTCCAAAATTTATGGCGGAAAACACCACCTGATAATGCTTCCCCCTCCCCATAAGAAAATCCTTAATATACGCCTATGCAATGTCAATTTAATTAAGGCGCTTATATTTCTTCTCTAAGGCTATCCATTTCTACGACTGTTTTATGAATCAATTATGTTTGATCAATATTGTGTATTTTAATTGGATCATATCACAAATAACTTATTTAATTTTTTTTTTGAATTTACTCTATTATTTATAGATTTAGTATTTTAGTTATATAGTTCTCAAAATACAAAGAAATAGGCATTTTATCATTTATTTACAAATGGTATTAATCAAAATTATAGCTTAAAATTAAAAAAACATCCAAATTTTAACCCGGGCTGGCCTATTAATATTTCACATCGGAAATTGCTGCACTGCCTAATTTTTTTATGCATAAAATGTCCCGGCCTGAAAATATTTTTTTAAAAAAATTTAGATATAATTTTTTGTTTTTAACAAGATATGGCTAAACATGTCAAACTTTAAGAAAAATCATAAAATGATTAACCAATTTGTTAAAATTTTTCGATTTATCATACTAATGCAATCTTACCACCATGGACTTTGTACAAAATGAATTATATTTTGGTTTCTGAAATATGGCCATTTTTTCCTTTAACTGTTAGCGTAGTTACGGATAATTTTTTTAAAAATAATAAATAAATTGTCTTTTACCCATAAAATCAAACAAGAAACAATAATTAAAGAAAGAAAGAAAGAAAGAAAGCCTGGATTTAATAAAGTTGAGTATATATTTACAAGAATAATAGCCTAAGACTTGAAAATATTAGCGAAATTTATTTTTATAATATTGTTTTGATCCTATACGTTAGTGGTTTGCAAAGTCTTCGCAAATTTTATAAAAATTATAATAGGCCGGGAAATTCGCACATCTTATAAATAATCTTAAAAAAAATTAAATAAAAATTATTCATTCAAGATACAATGGAAATTATAGGTAAAAAAAAATATAATAGATTTATAAAAATAGATAGAACTATATTTTACTAATTTTAAAAATCGTTGCCAGAAAATATTGCCTAAGCCTCGAGATTTCGCCTAACAGATGTCAATTGTGCCATCTATGAGAAAAATCTTCAGGGTTAAGTAATATTTTTCTGGATACGAGTTATCCGTTTAAAAACAGTTCAAACCGAGCCGTTTAACACCACTATCTGGAAACATTCTTAGTATATTATGATTACTTTTCCTTTAAGGTAATTTTTTTTTACACCTGAGTCTTCATTTAATACATAGCTTTATGAATGGGCATGTTTAAATTGCCCTCATCTAAAATGAGTTTTTTTAATTAAGCTTAATTTAATATATATTATATACTAGTTTTCAGACCCGTAAAGAATGACAAACTAGCAGGTGGATCGCCAGCGCGGCCACGTAGCAAAATTTTATGAAAAAATATAAATGGTTTTACTGAATTGTGAATTGAGAATTTTTAAGTTAAAATACTTTATATTCTATTTTAAATATTAGCCTTAAAGTTAAAACATTTATTCCTTTAATATTTTATCTCACGAAAATTTAAACTTTATTTTCTTTCATTTTTAAAGCCTTAAAGTTAAAACTTTATTCCTTGTATATTAATATTTTATCTCACGAAAATTTAAACTTTATTTTCTTTCATTTTTAAACTTTAAACCTTGGTGAATATAAGAAAAAATTTTCATATCTCTACTATATGATTAGACAAAATTTCTAGATTGTGTGAAATGTTCAGATATCCAAATAATAATTTATTGACTATAATTTTTTCTAAGACTTCTTGTGCTCCAGGAAGAAAGAAACTGTAAAAGCATGTCGACAAGATGGAGCCTTCGACATCATGTTGTTTTACAGCATTTATGATCTAGAAGAGCCTATTTTGAGTGCCTTTGGAGAAATATAAGAATGGCCTCAACCAGGTTTTTAAGCTGATACATAAGATTTAATACTAAGGCCTATTCCTGTTGCATTGTAATTAATGAATAAATTATTTAATTGCACAGCAATTTTATGCAATATTTTCCAAAAAATTATAAGGATTTAGTTGAAGTAAGAATCGCTAATATGATTATATTACAACTTAGAAAGCTAAGAGATAATATCAATCTATTTTGGAATTTTACCAAATATATTATAATTACTTGTATAATATGGTTTTATTATTAAAATAGTTTTTTTATTATTATTTGAATAGTAGTAAAATTTATATGGGTTTTTAAAGTAAAATTTGAATATTTCTAATTTGATAATTATAGAGTTCGCAAACATGTATAATAATTATTTTATGATTATGATTTAAAAAATTATATATTTTAGTATTGTGTAATGTAAATTATGTAAAGAAAAAATATTATATTCAAGAAATGAAAAATTATAATCAGGACAATATCTTAAATTTTTTTTGATATAATTTAAATTTGATATAGTTAATTATTTTAAATTTGAAAAGTAAATTCACATAGTTCTTTACTACGAATCTTAAAAGTGCCGGATTGTGGAAAATAAAAATAAAATAAAAATGCTCGAACTCTTTAGAAAAATTTATGATAATATAAATGAATAAGGTAAAACCAAATATATAATACATATTATTTGGATAAGTTTGACAGCATTGTGCATTGTTTATAGCTATTGGTGAGCTATTAAATTAATTTGTTTTAACAGGTGCTTTATAATGCAGATAAATATAAAGATAGAAAACAAAGATATAGAAAAGCTTAAGAGAATAATAAGAGTGAAAATAAGAATTTTATGGGTGTGGTAAACCTGATCATATCTCGGTAATATGAAACTAAAAATTTAAAATGATGAGATGTGGCAAGGACGACCTAGACATAAAATGCAAAGTGAATAATTATTTATTGAGATGTAATAAATGCACTAAATGGTGATATACAAGAAAGATGTAAGAATTGACTAGACGAAGAGAAATTAATTTTTTTAATGTGTTTAATAAGTAACTCAAGTCGAAGTAAAAAAAAAAGAATAAAGAATATTAGAACCTGAGGAGATTGATGAAAGGAAGTTCTGCAATGAAATAAATGATATATTAAATATGTACAAATATTTTTTTAAAAAAGAATTAGGTATTCTAAAATTTTTTGATGTGGATATAAAATTATTGGAAAACTACTAGCCTAAATTTTGTGGCATAAGAAGATTACCGTTTTCATGGATAGAGGAAATAGATATGGAATAAGACAAATGGCTGTAAGAAGGTATTAGAACGATTAGTTCATAGCGGGTGACCTGATAATAGTTCAAGATATGCATAGATCATAGGGTATCTGTAAACCCTAAGATAATGTCACTTTATATCCTTGGCTAATTAAATGGGAATTTTTTTCAAAAACAGATTTTTCTTACACTTATCTGAATGTGCTAGTGGGAAAAGCAAGAGATAGCTACAAAAGGCATCATGCTGGTTTTGGATACGGAGAAAGAATGATGAAGGAGAGCATGTACTGAAATTTGCGCAAGCCCTTGCCTCAACCAACAACATGCTAATCTTTCGTAGAAAATTAAAAGATGTAATAGACTACAAAGTCATCCCAGGAGGAGATATAGCCACGCAACACAAGCTACTAGTCATGGATTTACACATCACAATAAATCCACTCAAAACAAGATAAAACTGAAACCATGCATCAAATGGGGCAAATTAAAAACAATGGCAGATGCCTTTGCAATCAATGCAAACATTGAAACAATAGATTCCTCACAAATCAGTGAAAAAATGTGGACAGACCTTTCATCCAGATTAATAGACACTGCCAAATCGACACTAGGCTTGACAAGGGAAGGTAACAAATCGTACAAAAAACTATGGTGGTGGAATGAAGAGGTATAAACCACTATACAGGAAAAAAAAAGCCCTTTATAAAATATGGTACAAATCTAAAAACCCAGATGACAAGACAAGATACAAAAAATTCAAGAGATTAACTACAAAGGCGGTGGCTGGGGCCAAATCTATGGCATACGATGACATGTATGAAGAACTACATAGCAAAGAAGGGCAAAATAAAATATACAGATTAGCCAAACAGCGAGAAAAGAATTCTAGGGATATAAACGGAGCTCCGAAAGTTATCAAAAACAAAGATGGGAAATTGATAATAAAGGAAAAAGAAATAATGAATAGATGAAAAGAATATTTTCAGGAGCTTCCCAACTTTAATCCCCACATACTACATCTAGATGAACACTCCTTATGTCAAAACCTTATACCACCAATAACAGAACAAGAGATAATCATATGCCTCAAGCATATAAAAAACAACAAAGCTAGGGGTCCAGATGATATTCCAAGAGAAAGTCTTAAAGCACTAGGAGATGATGGAATACATTTCCTCACAAATCTATACAATAAAATACTTGGAAATGAAGAGGTTCAAAAATGGAGGCTATCTAGTTCCTATCTTCAAAAATAAAGGGGATCCACACAATTGTCAAAATTAAAGGGGCATAAAACTAATGTCACACTGTCTAAAACTATAAGAAAAAATAATAGAAAAAAGATTAAGAGACATAATCGAAATAGGAGAGACTCAGTTTGGCTTTATGCCTGGAAGATCAACAACTGATGCTATCCCCGCAATTAAGCAAATGAGTGAAAAATACAGGGAAAAGAACAAAAAGCTACACATGGTCTTTCTCGATCTAGAAAAGGTCTTAGATAAGAAAACTTATCTGGTGGGCGCTACTTCACAAAAAGGTTTCCGAAAAATTTATAAGAATAATACAGGATATGTATATGGGCCATACAACAATGGTCCGTAGCACAACAGGTACTTCAGCAGGCTTCACAGTAGCCGAAGGAGTTCATCAAGGGTCGGCTCTCAGCCCACTTCTCTTCATTACAGTAATAGATGTATTAGCACAGTCTCCTCAAACAGTCGTGGAATATGATATTTGCAGATGCTATTGTAATACTTGCCGAATCCAAGAATGAAATGAAAGAAAGATTAGTGAGTTGGATAAATATCCTAGAAAAGCACGGACTAAAAGTAAATAGAGAAAAGACGGAGTATATGGTGATAGGAGGAGATGAAACAGAGAGTATTGATATAAATGAATGACAGATATCGGCAATTGAAAGCTGCAAATATTTGGGCTCCACTATACAAACAAACGGCACAATAGAAAAAGAGATAAAGAGTAAAATTAATCAAGGGTGGTTAAAGTGGAGATCTTTATCTGGAGTGCTATTTAACAAATTAATCCCACACAAATTAAATGGAAAAATTTACAGGTCATAGTACAACAAACTATTCTATATAGTTCGGAAACATGGCCAACTAAGGAATCAGACGAGAGAAGTCTACAAACTATGGAGATGAGAATGCTGAGGATGATTGCTGGGGTAATAAGAAAGGATAAAGTTCGCAGTACAAGAAACTCAGTAGTTTAAAGGTAGTGCCCATTAAGACTAAGTTAATGGTAAACAGACTTAGGTGGTATGGGCATGGGCACACAATGAGAAAGCCTATGAACTACATAGGAAATAAGGTTGAGATTTTGGAAGTGATGGGCAAACGTAAAAGAGGAAGGCCAAAACTTCAATGGGGTCATAAAGTTAGAGCCAATATAAAGAAGTAAAAATTAGATGAAAGAGATTGTATGAATAACATAAAGTGGAGAGAGATATTGAAGGAGCTTACCACCAGAAAAGGTGAAAGATAAAGAGAAAAAAAAAATTTCGCTATATACTTAATAATAGGCTTTTATAATGACATAATGATTGTAAAAAATTTTTAAATAAAAACTAGAAATAGAAATCGGAAATGATCATAAAATCGTATTGGCATTATTTTTTCTCTCAAATTTTTTTTAGGGGTACTATGGGATTAATCAATAAATATTCACAAGTTGGGCCGAGCTCGGGTTTAGAGGATTTAATCATTAGTCTATTGATATTGTTCTTAATAAATATTTGATATTAATCAATCATTGTTATATAAATCAAAAGTTATCAAATATTTTTGTATTTGATATTTAAAAGAATAGTTATTTGGGGGGGGGGGGGTCTATGATTGATTTATCTAATAAATTGAAATTTTTCTACTCATAAAATCTACAAAATATTAATGAATTTTTAATTACAATTTAATTGAAGACAAAATATAATTTTATAAATTTTTTAATTTATATATTGCAAATTAAATAATTTTCACAATATGATTTAATTTAACTTTGATTTTATTTTCCATAAAAGGTATAAATGCATGAAACTTTTGTGTTCTGGGAATGCGTTTATCCTTATGAAACCATGTTTCAAGATATTTTTTCATATACGAGCTGTGTGGTGAAATTTGTTATACAAAAATTAAATTAATCTAAAGTATTTAATACTGGTAAGGACGCTGAAGGATAGCTCTTGCTGCTAACCTTTTGGTAATTCCTCCTTGCCATTGGCTATTGCAAAAAGTGTCATTCTGCTTTGATTCCGAAATAGAGTTCTTGATGGCAAAGATTATGAATATTTTTTATATTTTTATATTGCGTTACTGCGCCATCAGAAAAACAAAATATTTTTGATAAATTTTGAAATTTTGGTTTAAGAAAATGAATCATTTTAATTTGGAATAAATAAATGGTACATGTGTTGTGTTTTAGAAATGATGACATCATCACATAGTTTTTTCTTTGACTAATTTCTTTGCTATCCTAGCTATGAATTCAATCGTAGAAAATTCTTCTGTATTTATTTAGGGTCCAAGAATTTGATAAAACTGTCAATATCTGAATTTTATCATTTCGAGAATGTGTTGTTTCAAATTTATTTTTCAATTACTTAATGATTTCACATTCATCGTTAATATTAAAATTATTTTCTGAAGAAATTTTCAAAATTTTTCCTCAATTTTTTCTTAGATTTACAAATTTTTTTCAATAGTATATCAGGATTTTTTACTGCAGGCACTGCAAATTTTATTGCTATTTTTAAATGATTTATTTTGGTCAATCATCTAATGAAATACATTTTATAGGTCTTCCCGACATGAATGTTTATCTAAATTGAATGGATAAAAATTTTATAAAATTATAATCAAAATAGATTTGTATTTTGTAGATATTTTTATGAGAGAAATTTCAATTCATCAAATAAATTAACCATGCCCCCCCCCCACAACACTTTTTCAGATCTTAAATAACTATTTTTTTAATATTAAACATAAAATAGTTGATTACATGGGGAAAAAAATTATCATTTTTTCTTCCTGTTAATAAAAATATAATTTTAAGTGGTGTAACATTTCTATAACTGAATTATTTTCTTTCTCAACTGATTTAATTTTTATTAAATGCATTGATCAAGAACATAAACCACAACAAAAATTCTGATAATTAGTGGATTGTTAATTGAACGAAAGCATATTTGAAAGCTTCTACAATTCAAAAAATTATTGGACACAAGGATATAAATCAGTGGCGTAGCCAGGATTAATCCATGGGGGGGGGGTTAAAAATTTTTCGGGGATTTGCCCCCAAACCGCATTTTAAAAATTTGCCAATTTTGTGCTTTATTGGTGTCCAACCACTATATTAACCAGCATAAATGAAAAAAATATTAGTAACAAAATTTTGGCCAAATTGATTAATACGCGACTGAAAGCATTATTCTGAAAATTTTATTAATGTTTAGTCAATTGTAAATTAATTCAATCCATTCGGTATAGAAAGAAGAATAAAATCGCCCCAAACCTCCCATTTTTTATGATCACTCAATATATCTTATTCTATGTTAAAAATAATTATTTTAATTAAATTTTTGTAACAAGATTTTGGAGAATTTCATTATAGATTTTATTTAATATTTATACAATACAATAAATTTCAAAATGTATAAATTTTATACAGATTATATTAAAAAAATTTCTAAATAACCTTATTTAAAAAAAAATAGAATTACAATAAAACATGAGTAATTCTTGTGCAGTATTTTAAAAAAAATCTAATTTAACAATTAATATAATTAATACAAATGTGTATATTAATAAAACATAAATAATTCTTATTAGAGAACCGCAAAAGTAGGAAAATCGGGATCGGGCCTGGTCAGGCTTAATATTTTTTAAAAAAATTCTGGCCGGGTTGGGTCGGCCTTGGAAATTTTTTAAATATATCTAAATATATCAATTTTATGTTAAATTTTTTATGTAAAATAAAAATATTTGATTTTATTTATAAAAATTAGACGCCATATAACATATATCTTTTATTTTGAGTAATTATAAAAATGAATTTCTATATTTAAATAAATTCAGGCCAGGCCGACAAAACTTTTTTAAAATAATTTCGGGCAGGGCTGGGCTTGAAAAATTAGACTCGATGCAGATCACTAATTCTTAGTGTAAATGCAATATTTTTATTAAAAATAGTATAATATATAAATATTATGACTAAGAATTCATTATAATTACGTTTTGAATATAAAAATTTTATGACTAAGATCACATTATAATAATATATCAATATAATAATTTGAATTTATAAAGAAAGGTCTACTTTTCTATGTGATTTGACTAATTCATCTAGAATCAAATTTTTATCTAGATAAATCTCCTTATAAATATTTAATATTGCGAATCCATTTAAACGGCTTTCACCGGTGCTATTTCTTAAATATGTTTTTAACCTTTTCAAAGTTGAAAAAGACCTTTCATTAGTGCAGGTGCTAGTCGGTAAGGTAGCTAAAATAAAAAGCAATGTTTTGATATTAGGCAGGGAATCTAAAGTGCAATTATACATGGAAAGGGCCTGCAAAGCACATTTTGGTCTCAAAGAAAGAGTACTCTATTCTGTCAAAATTTTTATACCCGACATCACAAAGTAACTTATCATACGATCCTGATAATGAATAAAACTCTGAGATTTTCTTAATACCTTCTCGCGTTTCAAGTGTATTTAGACTCAACCGCCAAAAGAAAATAAAAGCTGTTTAAAATAAAATTGTGACTAATAAATCTTTCCTTTAATTGAAATAAAAATGCATCAATAAGAGAAGTAAAAATATTTATTTTATAAAAATCCTCAATCGTAGATGCATCAATATTTAAGCGATTGGACTATCTAGAAACTACTCTAGGTTTAAAATTTTTAATCCCAAACATTAGCGAACACCTTTACTTTCTCATTATATTTACCAAATTAAATAATTTTTCTTTTAATTAATAATTATAAAAAATTAATTAAAATTTTTAAACTATCTAATTAGTTTAACAATATAAGTTTTATTAATAAATTTATAAATATCTAATTTAACTATGCGAGAAAAAATTTACAATATATTTTTATTGTTATTTAATATTTTACATATAATTTTTAATATATATTTCAAAACCATGTTATCATTTAAAATTGAAAATTCTTATTTGTTTTTTTATATATATTTCATTTTCATATCGTATATAATTTATAAATTGAACCATTTTTTAAATAAAATTATTCGCAATAAGAAAAAATTTTTAAAAAAAAATTTTCGGAGGTTATGGGCCCCCCCCCCCTTCTCTACGCCCCATATATAAAGAAAGCCATTGTGTTTTTAAAGTAATAAAGAAGTTGTTTATAATAACAAATTCACACGTATATATTGAGGAGAATATATAAAAAAAATTCAAAATAATAAAAAAAAATATAGACAACAAAACTTATGATGTAATTGTAAAAAATATTTTTCCCGTAATAATATAAAAAATAAATATTAAAAAAAAAGAGTAAAAATTAAAATATAATAGATACGGGACATATTTTTAGAATCTCAAAAGAGGACATGTCCTCTTAAAAGTGAACATCTGGTAACCTAAATTATGTAATAATGAATAAGATAGAGATAATTCCAAAGATAAAAAATGATAAATGATCACTAGCTTTAAAGCAAGGCGATAGAGAGATTATCAACTGAAGCAAAGTCTAGGTTCGGTTTTTAAAGAATATAATATCAGATAAGTTTGTATCTTTAAAATCCGATTGAAAACTTTTCATATGCAAATTAAAGGTCTGCTATGCCCGAACCATAACCCTACCTGCCATCCATAAGCCGGGCCGATTACGTCTAAAAAAATTTATATGGGCCGGGCAAAAATATTAATGAGTTGGCAAAAAAGTGGGTTGGATTACTGAGGAATAATGATATTTGATAGAAATGATAATCAATAAGGTGTTGTATTTTTTATTTAGGTACTCCCCAATATTTTAAATAGTTATCGATTCTGGTGTTCAACTATATACATGGGGTTAGTGTAAATAATTGAAGCGGGCCAGACAAACTTAGTAAAAGGAAATGTTTATTTTATTCTAATTGTCCTTACAAGTATTAATTTATGAATTATCATAAACAGTATTTATTAACTATAAAATATTCTCCCTAAAGAAATAATTTTGATGCATATATAAAAAAAATAAGGCAACCTAAGTAAAATAGTAGGTTTATATTATTCTAATTTCTCATATAAATATTCCTAATTTATGAATTATAACAAATAAACAGTATTTATTAACGATATTTCTAAAAAAACTTGAGACGTATATAACCAAAATATTTTTAGATTCTATTCAGTTGAATTATAATTATAAGAAGGAAATATTAAATTTTAAGGTTGAGAACACTTTACGTTAACTTGGGTAGCTGGCATAGTCAAATTGCATATAAAAATATTGAAAAATCGCTAGTGACTAATTCTTATCAATCAATTTTGATTGATAATAATCATTGAAACAATCTTCTTTATCATGCATATGGTACCACAGTTATGGGGTTTGTTTTGATAAGTTTCTTCCATCTTGATCGAGTAAGGGCCATGTCCGGATTTATCTTCTTAGTCATCATAACTTTGTTTACTTGACCTTTCCACGTAACACGAGGTCGTCCTCTTCCTCTCTTCCCCGGCACCTCCATGTCCAATACTTTTCGATTTACATCATTCGTCTCCCTTCTTAGTATATGACCAAACCATCCTAACCAATTTTCGTTTATCAAATCCGCCATAGGTTGAATACCCATTTTTTCTCTGAGACACTCATTCGTCATATGGTCGAGTTAAGTATACCCCAAGCTCCACCGTATCATTCTCATCTCCGTAGCTTGTAATAACTTTTCTTCCGTAGCGTTTAATGCCCATGTTTCACGTCCTAGAGTAACACCGGTCTTACGATGGATTTGTAAGCTTTTTCAACCATATTGGCATCTTCTTGTCGCACATTACACAAGATATACTTCGCCATTTAAGCGATCCTTTTTGGATCCGTGCATTGACTTCTTTTGCGCAACCTCCCTCTTGATGTATCATCGAGCCTAGGTATGTAAACCTGTCTACTTTTGGGGATTTTAATTGGTCATCCAGCGATGAGGTGCCTGTAACATTCATCTCCATGTATACAGTTTTCCGATTATTGACCTTTAAACCATATCCAGCTAAGCGTTTTGATCACTTTTCGGCTTCTTCGAATACTTTCTCCTTTGTCTCTTCGCATAGTACTATATCATCGGCATATAGCATACACTAAGGAGATGGCTTTTGGATGTCTCTCGTTATCGTGTCCATAATTATATTGAATAAAAAAGAACTTAGAGCAGATCCTTGATGTAATCCAATTTCAACCCGAAAAGGTTTAGAGTCTCCAACTGTCGTTCTAACGCAAGAAGTTGAGGCTTCATAAATATTTTTCATAAGCCGTACATATGCGTCAGGGATATTTTGTTTTCTCAAGCACCACCATATTAAATCGCGAGGGACCGTGTCATAAGCTTTCTCCAAGTCAATAAAGACCATATGTAGGTTTCTTTTCTCCATATTTATCCATCATTTGTCTTAGTGCAAAGATCGGATCGATTGTGGATTTGCCGGCCACAAATCCGAATTGGTTAGCCGATATTTCCACCTCGTTCTTCAGCCTTGTTACTAGATCCTTTCCATAAGTTTCAAGGAGTGGCAAGTTAACTTGATACATCTGTAATTACCACACTCCTGAGGGTCTCCTTTGCCTTTGAATAAGGGTATAATCGTGCTTGCTCTCCATTGATTAGGAATTCGTTCTTCTCCCAATATCTTGTTAAAGAGGTTCGTCATGGTCGTGACTCCTTCTTCTCGGCATCCGACCCATGCTTCCATAGGAATTCCATCTGGGCCATTAGCTTTTCCTTTTTGCATCTTGTTCATTTGCGTCCTAACTTCATCCTCCTGAAAGAGTTCGACCATACTTATGTTTGGCTTAATATCGGGAAGGAAATATTTGTCATTAGAAATATTCATAAGTTCCTTGAAATATCCTTTCCACCTTTCCATCACCTCCTTCGGCTTGAATAAGGTTTGACCCTCCTCGTTTTAACTATTTTATGGACTCCGACATCACGACTTTTCTTCTCCCTTATCTTGTCCAATTTATACATAAGCCTGTCGCCCCCTTTATGATCCAGTTTGTTTGCCATCTCGGTGTATGCAGCATTCTTCGCTATTGCAACGGCCTTCTTTGCGGCTCTCTTTGCCTCCCTATATTCTTGATAACCCTCCGACTTTTTAGATTTATGCCACCGTCAGAAAATGCAAACCGGAGCACAAACCATTTTAGAGCTTCGGTTCAGATTTGGATGACTTTTTGAAGGGTCAAATTCTGTTTAGGGTCTATAAATAATAATGTTGATACCGCTTTTACGTTTGGCCTCAGGTTTAGTTTGAATTCCTCTATTTAACTAAAATAAAATTTCTTACTATATCTATAGAAAAGGCATTATTTCTATTTTTCTAATTTTAGGAATTTTTACAATTATATTATGACGTATTTTAAATAGAAAGCTTTTTTTAAATTATACTTACAGAAAGGACATCAAAAAAGATATATATTAATTTAATAATTAATAGAATAAATAAATATAATGGTAATAAAAAATAATTGCATAGAGCTAAAATAATTAACGAAATTAACTTTTTATTTTTATTTTCTTTTACTCATTAATAGTATTTGTAGCTTTTATTAATATTACGGCCGTCAGTGTTAATATAAGAAATTCTTTTTAACTATTAAATTTTTATGGTTATGGAACATACAATTGTAATTTTCGTGGCCAAAATTAGCATTTTATTAATCATTTGGATAACAATACTAGTTGGAAACGGTTTTATAGTCGTATTTTACTTAAAATCAGAGGCCGGCATCTTCAAGAGAAATGTTAGATTTATAATAATATTTTCCCTATCAATAGTAGACTTTTTCTATGGGCTACTAGTCATTTCATTCGATATAGTACTAAAAATAATTATTTTCCTAAATGATCAACTGAACAAAAAACGATTAAATGCACTAAATCTTTATATGAATAGTAAGATTACGACATTGAATTGTGACTATATAATGGTACCCTTGATTGTATGCAAAGCTTACAAGATAATGGATATTCACTTAAGCACCATAAGCATATGGCATGTGGCTTTCTTAGCTTTCGATCAATATACGGCCTTAAAATTTCCACATTTTTACAATAATTTTGCATATAACAAACGGCCTTTCTCCAGAGGATTCTTAACCTATATAGGTGTGATATGTATAATGTGGTTTATCAGTATGACATTTTCCATTCCATACATATTAGGATTTCCAGATTCCGTGGTAGCCAACAAATTCTCCAACTACAGCAATCTATGTCATAAAAGTTACGAAAGGAGAGTTAATCTTTATTATGATAACAATAGTAAAATTAAATTAAATATGAATTGGGATTATGCTGACATATTCAATCGATATTCATTTTCACCAACTTACGGTTTTGAAAATCTGACAATATTTAATACTCTTATTGATTTAAGTGAAATAGGATCCAAATATGATCTAAATACTACAAATTATGTAAAGAAAATTCTACTCAGGAAGGACCTAAATCAATGTATATTTATACCAAATTTAATCATGACCATAGTTGGCACATTGGTATCATTCTTCATTCCTTTGGGAGCGATGCTATATTTCCTGTTTAATATCATAGTCAGCCTTAGGCACAAAATTCAAAGAATGTCGAAATCGAATCAAACTTTTATAAAGGGTGGAGTATGTTTGTCAGGGCTGGTAACAAAAATATATTTTCCTTTTTATAAATTTCTAAAAATATACAACTCATTCCTAGACAAATCTTATGAGATCGCAGAAAGAAAGACTTCAATAATTAATGGTAAAAATATTTTTGAGATCTCTAAACATCAAGTGGAAAAGGGTTTAAAGAAAAATATTGCCATATTATCAATTGATAACGCCATTGATGCATCTCAGAATAAGCCAAACTATAAGAACTCTCAAGTTTTTGAGAAAGAACGTAGGGCAATTTACTATATACTGACCATATTAGTATTATTTATGATATGTTGGATTCCTTTCTTTCTATATTATTTCTTGCTTGGAATCTTACAATTTGAGAATTCTTATTGGGTAGGTGATCTATTAAACTGGGTTGGATACGTGAATTCAGCTATCAATCCTATATTTTACTTTTTCATGCACAAGGGAGTTAAAGCTAGAAAATTAAAAAAATAATTAGTATTTGATGTTATTTGTATGACTCAGGATGAGTCCTTTTTTATTTTTTTTTGAAGAATTATATATTATTTGTTTTATGGTATAAAAGGGCAGTTTGTGCCAAAATATTTATTATTTTATTTTTTTATTTTTTTTAGCAATTTATTTCTGTTATTCTAATTTATGAGCACAACCAATTGGAATATAAATTTTAATATTTTTATATATGAAAGAAACTAAAAAATAAAAATTTAGGCTAAAAGTTGTATACGTAATATAATATAAAAATGAATAAATGGGTATTCCGTTGCCCAAAAGGAGTGTGCTAGTGTAGTAAATTAAAGTTCATTGTTAGAGGTCTGCATTGGGCGGGTTTTTGGATAATATGCCCGCCCACTCAATGTTTAAAAAATTTTTTAACCCGCCCGCCCAGCTTGCCCATAGTTTTCAAAAAAAATATACCCGCCCGCCCATTAATCTAAAAATTTTTACCCGCCCGCCCGCGCATTAGTCTAAAATTTCTTGCCCGCCTGCCCATTAGTCAGAAATTTTTTACCCACCCGCTCATTATTTATAAAAAATTTTTTACCCAAGCCCGCTATTTTAAGCATCTAATGAAAATAGTTTCAACATTACATCTCTATAAGTTTTATAATTTAGGAAATTACTATATTAAGCTTAAAAAATATTCAATTTAAATTATGGATAATTTATTTTATCAAATAAAATATTTATAAAATATAAATATAAAATAAATATTATAAGTAATTATAATGCAAAAATAATAATGAATCCACATTTTCGGGATTCAAACACGTTCTTCTTTGTTCTAAAAACCTTCCGGCAATGCTAAGTCCTCTTTCAGAAGTAGCACTAGTTGCAGGAATTGCTAATATTTTTCTTGCTAATCTTGATAGCTTTGGCAAATCTTTTTCTTGTCGTTTCACCAAAGTAGGACATCCTTTTGAAGTATATCCTCTTCCTCAATTGAAATCTTTAAATAAAAGTGAACCAATAATAATAAATTTATAAAAGTAATTTAAATGTATATTAATTGTAATATATGCATCTTAAAATTATGCTAAATTATACTTATCAAAAATGGTTACTTTAAGATTTAAATATTTTGTTATGTCATTATGTACGGTACTATCCTCAGTAACAACCTCATCCTCCCACCTGTTGAGGTTTAATTTTGATGTGGATGCTATTTATTTCAAATATTACATTTAATAAGTAGCTAAACGAATTTATAATTTATTAATACCTTTTAATTGGATTCTCTTTGCTTTTGAGGAAATGGGTAAAATCAAATTTTCATCTACGTCGATGTTACATTCTTCTATGCAAATCTAATCTAACAAGTTTTCACTATGATTTTTTACTTCACTAATTTCTTCCGACGACAACATCCTCATTTGTCGAAACTTTGGTATTAAAAATGTTGAAACTTTATGGAGCATATGAATTTTAATTTTTTCAATTATAAATTTTTTAGCTCTTTTCTTTATTATATCTATTTCTTTTTCGCATTTTGTTTTTCTCTCCATTATATTCATATTTATTTCATTATGCTCATGTAGAAGATTATACCTAATTTTTTTATAAATAAAGAAAAAATGGGCATAAATCCCAAAATATTAATTTTCATACCATATAAGAACTTTCTGTAGTGTAGGCCTGCAATCACCCTCAAGAGCATTAGTTGCATCTTTATATGGTTCCAAATAATCTATCAGTGTTTTTAAATCTTCCTTTCCCATAGATCCCATTTTTTCAGTAATATCACGAGATTGTAAGAATAAAAAAATCTCATCATACATTATATAAATGCTTTGTTGCATATTATGCTTTGTATTCCATCTTATATCAATATTTTGTAGTAACGTCTTGCTTAGATATTTTACGTTGCCACTTTGTTTGAAATAAGTAGTCAATGATTTTGCAGTTACCAAAATATTATTAATCTTGGGGGCATTTTCTAAAATAAAAGTTGACTGGAAGGTATTACGAAGTATTGTGTTCAGCATATGTGCTGAACAGTTTAGTCTATTAAACCTAATATTTGAAAAAATAAAAGGAAAATATAGTTCTTTAAATATGAATGTTTTTTCTTTAGGTGTATACAAAATCTCTCAGAAATTATTATAATATCTACCTAATAATTAAATTTTATTTAATAAAAAATTTACCCTTCCAAAGCTATTTTAATATTTGCTCCTTGATCGGTAACAAAGATGAGCTTGGATAAATATTCTCGGGTAACACCAATTTTTAAAAAATTTTTAAATATTCTTTAAGAATATTTTATCCCGACTTTTTTTCATTTTGAAATTTTGAAATAAAAAGAATTTTTTTTTCTAATTTCCTATTTTGTATATAATGGATTGATAGAGATATGTAATCGGTTTTGGTAAATTCTTCACACCACATATCAGTAGTACATGAGCAAATAGAATTTTTTTATCATTTTTGCAATTTTAGGAAATAATATTTCCTTAAGATCCTCAGTAACTTTGGATACGTTGCGGCTAACTGTTGTAGCACAAGGGATGATCTTATTAACATCCAATTTACCATATGTTGCCCCTAAGTCGGCAAATCTTTGTAAAATATTTATAAATCCAGGTCCTAGAACTGTTTGAAATGGCCTAAAAAAGATAAAAGAATAATTTATTAATAGCTAATGTCTCTAGCGCAATATTCTACAAAATTCGCTATTAGACCAGATTTTATCGTTTTGTTTAATTGAGAATTGTCTTTTTCAAAATATCCAGTTATTTTT